CCGTTTCTATGGGTAAGTAATATCAATCATCTTAAATATATTGGAAATTAATGAATGAATGAAAGGAAAAATGCAACACATTAATATGTCTGAAATTGCGTATTTATAGACAGTGAAAAGTGATAACATTGATATCAATTTCTCGGAGATTATTTCACATTCGTTTACTTAAATTTGTAGTTTCTTTAGCAGTTCTTTTTTTTTTCGTCCCAATCATAATCAAATTCTATACTTGATTACAGAACTGGTTTGTGTTTCCACCATATATTGTTTTCCTTTTTTCAATTACAAATAAAATCTCCCTGTATATCATTCCCAAGAACGTTACAGTTTCCAAAAAAATTAACACAAATCATTTTCCACGATTTTTACTTACGTCATCTTACTTTTTTCTCGACTTTCGACATTTTATATCATTTATACTTAAATTTATTATCAATCAAATCTTTTTGAATCTTTGACCTTATTTTGGGATAACTAAAATTTATTGTCGATTAAATCTTCCTGAACCTCTTATTTTATTTTGGATAGATACTAGCTGCACTTTTTTTCCAAACACTTCTGACTTATCAACTTTTCTTTAAGGACTTTCATATTAATTCGTTCTTTTGAATCCTTTTCTTTTGCTACTTGTGAACTGATATTCAACGAATAGTTTCTTTTTTTTTAATATTACATAAATTAGCAGAAATTATCGTTTCCGAGGATATAATTTCTTAGTTTTCTTTCTAAATGCTTTATTATAACATCCAAGCATGCTTTACTTCATATACATTACTTAACAAAATTTTACTTAAACCAAATGTAATACTTATTTTGTGAAAACAATTAATTACATTACTAATAAAATACGCTATTATACAACTCATGTCCTTGAAAATCATTCTTTCCATTGAATCACTTGTCACTTATCTGTCCAACTGTGTGGTTTCACTCTGCGACTTTAGATAAGCTCTCTCTTAAATCGTTAATCAATTCATTATACGAACGACCTTTCACCTGTATGTGTCCAGTTATGATCCTTCAGAAGGCCGCTGATTCCTTTCAGTCTCTTATCACATACTATACATTTTCATCGCTTCTCACCTTCGCTTATGATTTCTTGTTTATTCCTCCTTCCTTAATTATTTGAAGAAGTAATAGAACTATTAGTGGTAAGTTGCTTGAAACATATCTGGAATAATTCCTTTTATAATGTCACCAAATTGGTGACCATCACCTTAACTTTCGAATTTTTTAACCATCCTTTTCTGATCATCCAATGACAGGATATCTGAAATATGCCTCAGATAATGTGACCGAGGTCATGATCATCCTCCTTAACTTTTAGATGAGTAAATCAGAATTTTCGTAGTAGGGAAGTTACTACTAACCTTATTAACTGCATTTTGAAATCCTTAGATCACGCTTTATCACTCTTTGATACTAAGATATATTTTAAAAGTATTTCAACGAATTATAAAATAACACTTTTAGAATGAGTACCGGTTGTGGTGCTTCGTATTCCTGGTTTCTTACATGTGATGATGTGGATCTGACGAAAAGTCTGATTGGTGATCCGGAAACAATTGTTGATGGATAAAATTAAAATTATTTTATCGTATCTGTTTTTCCCATCATCATTAAAACGAACCGTATGGCCTATACAATAAAACTTTGTCACAAAATAATGAATGATCGGGAAGTGAAAAAAAAATGAAAATTAATTTAAAGAAATGAAAAAAAAAACAAATTGTCAGTTATTGTTAATTATTGATAATTTAATTACTGAATGCCCGAAGGAAAAACTAATTTTGGAAAAACTAATTTTGCTAATTATCACAAATTATCAAAAAATTAACTTGGTGATTATCCGTTAGCTGCTATTGGTAATTACTGATAATTATTGATGGCGAATAAGCAAAACATGATAAAATCATCAGTAAAAGACTGTAATACTTCTTCAAATTTTATTTCGTACAAAAAAAATTCTTGTTCTTAAGAAAAAGACCGGTGTTTTGGTACTGAAAACAATGCTTTGTTTACTTACTGATACTTGCACGCAATGCATGCTTGCAGTTCAATGATCGCAAAATGCAAAAGCACACTAATTCCTGATTCCTATTTGTATCTATAAATGATAAGTGATTGAATTTTGGAAAAAATATTTTACAAAATAAAATGATAACGAACAAACAAAGCATGATAAAATTTTGCAGCTGATAAGAAAATACTTTGGTTGATTTTTAGTCATGTAGGATAGGTGTTACTATGTCTTTTTTTTGCGTAAATTATATATATAATACTGATGCATCCTGCAATATAATTCAGAAACCTGCTAACACTAAAAATGTTTTCAATCCTGTTATGTCATCTGATATCATCTGAGTGGTTAGTGACAATTAATTGTCACTTGAGATGTATAGATTATTTATCACAAAAAATCGATGAAAACAGAATATTCGGATATATTTGTCTCGATTAGAGGGATGCAAAAAGTAAAGTAAAATTAAGTGGAATAATAAATAATCTATACATCTTAGAGGGATGCAAAAAGGAAAGTAAAATTATGTGGAAAAAAAAAGAAAAAAACTTCACCAAGGAAAGTGGAAGTGAATTCAACTATTAAATGAATTATCAATAATAATAATAATTACCAGCAATTAATAACAATACTTGTTTTTTGAATGAAAAATATTGAAATTTGCATAGTTTTAAGAAGCTAATTTCAGGAAGATAACAATTTGCATCCAATTTTAAAATTCAAAATTAATTCAAAATGAAAATAATCTTTTGTATGACATCTATATCAATAATCTCCTCAAAGTTTAAAGGATAAAATTATTAGAAATTTTAGAAATTCCAGCATCCTCTATCACTGTATAAAATTGTTTACGTACTTTTCGTTTAGCAATCTATCCAAAGATCCCTTCATTAATATATGCTAACAAAGAGTACTTTATCAACATGAGCTAACAAAGGTGTTAATCCTTGTAATTGTAAAACCAGTCCCCGAAGGATATGCATATAAGCCCCGCACATAGCAGGGTAGCTAACTAACTAACTAACTAACTCCTTCATTTTATTCTCCAGATTAGTCGTCGTCGAAATTTATCTTGTGACAATGTTTTTGGAATTCGCTTTGTGCGTTAATTTGTGTTTTTGCAATTCTTAATGATTATAATACTGCATTGATATTGTTTCATTTAATCCAATGATTTAATAACCAAAGTTTGAGATGACCTATGACCTATGTCACGTTGCATAAGATTCTTTTAAAAAAACAAGAATTTCCCACTTTAACAAATATATAATCAAAACAGTTACATTTATGCGAAATAATTTTGTAATTTATGGTAATTAATATTTATAATAATCTTTATTATCATGATAATTAAGATCGTAGTATAATAATGATGAGTAATAGTAGTCCAAGTTAAATTATTTGCTAATATCTTAATTACGCTCAATTAATAATGCATAATTGCTTTTCTATATATTTTGAAATTTAAACACTTTATTAAATTTTCAGAAGTTGGATTTTTCAAAGAAGAAAAAAGAGGTGAGGAAAATAATGTAAAGAATTTTAATATTTTAATATAAGCAGTAATGGTGATCACGTTTTTCAGTCAAAACTATTACAAGATATGAACTTCTTCGAACAACTATTGAAGAAGGTCATCAGTGAAGTATCCATCTTGTCCATCTGTATAGAAGTAATAGCCATAGCAGTAGGATTCATACATGAAATTTGTTGTTGTCGTGCCCAACATGGACGAGTCAAATCGATCGATTTTGAATCAGCAAAGAAGTTAATAATTGGATCAAAGATCATCGCCAAAACCCAAACAATTGCGGCAATACATGCCAAAATTTCGACTTGTAAAAAAAGTCTCCCATAAAGGAAAGTTTTACACGATGACTTATCACCCAAACCTGTAAAAATACAAATAAAACATACCCTAATTTTCGACCATTTATAATTAGATTAAACTAATTAGATTAATCTTAAGACAAAGTATGTGATTTGATTGATTGAAATGATATATAAGCTACTTTTGTAATCAATGGAGTTGTTTCATTGATTAATAAGACAATTAATTTATTTGTAATTAGATTTTTCCATTCCGGTACCACCTTTAAAACTAATTGTAGGAACACCTGAAAGTAAATTCTGTTTCTTTTAAACTTTTACTTCAATGTTATCTTTCGATGTTATTATTCTCAGGTGAAAAAAGTAAAAGTTAATGGAATATAATACCTAAAATAACTTTACCTAAAATAAATTAATTTTACCTAAAATAGCAAAGTTTTTCAAATTAATCGCTGCAATCGCCATAACAATAAGAATCGGTAATGAGCCAGCAGTAAATGTCACCATATTTAGTGCTAATCTATTCATTGTTCGTACATTACTTTTCGCTGCTATATCAATTCCCTAAAAATTTCAAAATATTATTTTAAGTATTTCCGATACCATATATATACGAACGGAAACGGAAAATTTCCGTTCGTAATTCTGAAGTGTATAAATTTGCATAAAGTTGAATGAATGTTTTTTTTCTTTTTATGAATTTCGTTGCTATACTGCGACATTCAATGAAAAAGATTCAGTTCTGATTTATCATCACTTAACCATTTAGCAAGTGCCCCGAGATTTCTCTTTATTTTAATAGTCGAATCACAGTAACTATTTAAAAAATGATTAAAGAAATGTTTCTTATCATGTGATAAACAATCTGATTAAGGTAGAAGATATGATAATATCATAAGGATCTGAGATTTTTCGAGTAAATCTGAATTAAATAACTTGAAGGAAATTTAGCCTCATCTCTTGCCAAGAAATTAAGATCATCTGATTATTTCTTGCAGGCCGACAAACTAAAGTTATCTGATCATGTCCATCATTGATCTATTGATCACTGATCTACTGACCCATCACTAGTCTACCGATATGCTGATCGCTTGCCGTTTCCGTTTAATCCATCTATTGATTTATAGATAATTTTAAAAATTAAGGAATAATTAAAATATTTGAAAAAGTTACCAGTCGACCATCTCGATCTCGATTATGAATAAAATAAAGTATGATTAGATAGAATGCAATGACAGTAATGAAGAATGCAATGAGAAGGAAAGTGACAAAGATAGCAATGGGTTGTTGACATTGATCAAATGAACAATAAATTGGCGCTGTTTCCGGATAAAACAATGTTGCGCCATATAAACCAAGGAAAAGCTAAATTTAAATGTGACATTTTTTAAACTTGTTGAAAATTTCGCATTCAAAAATTAAGACTTATTAGTTTTTCAAAATTAAGATTTATTAAGATCTATTAATTTTTTAAGATTATGATTTATTAAGATTTATTAGGATAAGATTTATTCATTTAATATATTTTAAATAATTGCAAAATTTTTCGAAATTACTGCATGTATCATCCATAAGAGATACCGGTTTGAACTTTGTTAATTTAATTGGAATTTATCAATTCTAATTGATAATAAAATTAGTTTGAAATTGGAATAACTGTATTGCATTTTTTGAATCACTTGAATGATTTAACTTTTAAACTTATCAAATCTAATTTCTCTTATCAGTAATTTACGCAACAATTTTTTGCGGAATTTCACGATTATTTTAAATATATTAAGAAATGAGTTAATTTTAATTTTTCCCTTCCAAAATTTTAAATTCCAAAAAGAACTCATAACTGAAAATTTTGTAAAATAATAATTAAAAATTGACGAAAAAGAAAAAAACTTTTATTTTCATTAAATTATTACCGAAAAAGCGATAGAAATAAGCCAAAGAATTGTAATAACAATAAAACAACGCGAAACATTAACTGCATATCGATATCTCAATGGATGGACAATTGCTAAATAAAGTAATGTTGTCATTGCGACATAAGTACCTGCAAAAAAAAATGTCACATAAAACAATGTTGTCATTAGGACATAAATATCTTGGAAAAACTTTACACGAAACTTGAAAAGAAAGAGATGAAGTTTGAAATTTTCACTGAATAAAGTGAAGAAATTTGATTGGAATTTAAATCGAACAATAGAAAAATAAAAAAAGTGACTGAAAAGAGAACTGAAAAAAATAAAATTGATTGAAAATACAATCAAAAATAGAAAGGTTGACTGAAAACAGAATCAAATTAAAAAAAATTAACTGAAAGAAGATTTTTAAAAAGTAGTTAAAAATTAAAAAAAAAGGAAAGTTTGAAAAGTCTTCATACACCACATTTTTGATTTAGTTGCTATAAAATTTAAAAATTTGAAATTAACGAAAAAAAAATTCAAAAAAAAAATCCAAACTTACCAGCCAATGTTAGAAATGATAATGATCCGATCAAAATGAATGCAGCAGCAGATGCATACTGGAATATTTCTAATTTCCAAGCAATTAAAACAATATATAAAAGGATCAGTGCAAGGATACTGCTTATCGTCCTACTTAACAGAAAACTGTGACGACACATGGAGCTAAAAAAATTGAAATCGAAACTTTAAAATTAAAATTTAATGTGACAGATGAAATGTAAAAAAAAGAAACAACGAATAATATTCGTTTTTGTCTTTCTGCCCAAAATTTAACTTTTTATTTTATTTCCTATTATTCTAACCGGTTTGCAAATCGGTTCAAACTTCGCGATCTCTGCATATTTCGGTTATAAAATGCTCGAATATAGATCATCCGGAAAATATGATGTAAGCAAAAAATTACATGAGTTTTTTCCTTCGCCATAATTCTATTAATAATATGCCATAAGCAATATTTATTAAAATGGCAAATGTTGCAAGTATAAGTGGAATTGTACCAAAAAAATACTTCCGGAAATCTTTTGCTTCATGCAATTCCTGAAAATAAACGGGAAGAAAATGCGGAAAAACTAATTAGATAACGGAGAAGATAATTGAAGGAAAAAAGTTGTCTGAATTAACTCCAATTATTCAAAACTACAAATGCAACTAACTATCATCTGTTTAGATGATATGGTATAATTGTTACATATGTCGCATGTTCAGAAAATCATAAGAAAATACTGGTGTATCCGGAAGATAATTCGAGGAAATTTTCCGGGAAATAAAAAGATTTGAAGCAAAATATACTTTTTGGAATAGAAAAGGAGAGAGATGAGTAAAAATGATAAATAATTCCATTTCAAATATATTTTTGTATTGATTATTTTAAAATAAAGCTAACCTTTAATAATTTGCATGGATTTGCATCCGTAAATATATGACATTGGGCATATTTGATATCCTTTATACGATATTCGTATGAACAATTTTGAAAAATTTTTGGAACAATGATACTCATTTACAACTGAAAACTCTTTTACTTACTTACTTTCGTACTTATTTGTTGAAATTGAACTAGTATTTAAAAGAATGATCTACTGTATAGTTGTTGTGCATAGTTGACAAAGTGAGCAGCTTTTTGGTGTGGGATGTTAAATTGGATGACAGAGCAATGTCAACAGAATGATATGATAGCTTAACATTAATTATTGACAGATAAAGCAGGGAATGGTGAAGAGAAATGACGGAAAAAATTCATCGTTAGTAATACTTTTTTATCAAAAAAGTGAAAAAATTGGGAGAAAAATGAAATTTTAAATAAATGGAAAGTTTTTTTTTTAAATTTAACTCAAATATTATTTGTATTTAATTTTAAAATGCCCTTATGGTAATTGGTGCATGTATGTGTGTGCATGTGAATAAAATTTTTAAATATTGAAAAGAAATTCGTTATAATTACTAACTTAGGAAAAATTATCAGCAAATATTGGTAGTAAAATGATAAAAGTTGAGTTTTTTTTGTCCTATGCCAATAACATTAATTTGGTAAAAAAAAGGGAAAACAAATAAATTTGAATTTTAAAAATTGGTTTGATCGAATTTTTTCATTTCAACTAATATTCAATGATATTATCTGATATGATATAATTTTTATAAAACTTTGCGAATAAAACCTTTGATTTTTGATTTTCTTCACTTAATGTTTTGAATTTTTTAGCAAATGATTACAGATATTAATTTAATCTTATTTATGAAAGGATGATAAGATCAATTTTTTGATTTGATAAAATCATTCTTAAACTGTTCCGAACTATATCATCAAATATATCCTTTTTAATTAGAACATTGTTTGAAAAGTTTCATAAAACATGAGAAATAGAACTGTCTATGAATAACGATACAACATTATTCGTAATAATAATCCGGTATAAATACACTTTATCAGGTTCGTTCGAATAACATTGCGCCGATTATGCATGGATAGTTAGTATTGTATAGATGGAATATGCCGGATCCGTTCAATATTAATTTTTTAAGTGATAAAGATGATGATAACCACTTTTAACCATATATATTACCCAATTTGATTTGCAAGATATGTTAAAGAGGTAATCAATGATCGAGATAGTGATTAGTGATCACTATTTCGATCATTAAATTATCTTGTTTGTCAGCCAAAAGGAAACAGTAATTCTTATTTTACAAGCTATTTCTATCAGACAATTTAGGTAATTGATCAAGGTTAAAGGTCAATTCTTATTTTTCCTTATTCTTTTCTCCTTTAAACATTTCCATCTGAGTCATTCTATGCCATTTGCGCAACACATAAACCAGTGATAAAAGCAACTCAATGATTCAATGCTTAAAAGGAATCGTTCGGTGTATTTTTAATTTCAAAGTTTTTTGCTTATATTTTCCTTTTTTCACTTTTTGTTTCTCAGAACAAAAGTAAGAATTGACCTTTAACCTTGTTTTGATCAAAATATCACAATATGATAATCATTCGTTGTGAATACTTGGAAATCATTTTTTTTTAATTCATACGGAATATTACTGTCAGTGTTGGCAATAAACCGGAAAGATTGCTAACTGTTAATGATACAAGAAAAGAAAAATAATATGCAATGAATGGATGAATAAAAATTTTGCAAAATTAAAGAAGGTACAAAAATAGTAAGATAAAAGAGTTAAGAGGAAAGGAGAAGTGATCGAATCAAATTAAATATCTGATTAATTAGCGGCAAATATTAATTTTCATATTGAAAAGCAAAAGATCTATTCCGAAATACCGGAATTATTCCACACTTTATCATAATCTAATGCAAGAATTATGTTTACTTCATGCCAAATATGAATTCCAATTAATTTAACTGATAATTCAATTGTAAAAATACATTTTATTTAATTTCATATTCTTCACATAAAATTTCAAATTGTATGGGAATGTTTTAATATTAACAAATATTATTACAAGAAAAATGGAGCAAAAATTTCTTCTCAAATAGGAAATAAAATTAAAATGAATCATTGACAATAATAGATGACAGTCCACAAAAAAAAAAGAAAAAATCGATTTCATCGTAACAGATTTTGTTTGAAATTTGCTTTGTAAATGTTGTAATTGGATATTGATCCATCTTTCGTAACACAATTTGAAGAGGACGAAAATCAGAAAAAAAGTTTACAAAAAAAAGACCTATAGTGAAAAAAAAAAGGACGATTTTGCAGATATGGTAATTTGTTAAGTGTAATTGATTTATAAAAGGTTCAAATGATTAGGAACACATAGGTCAATTGGTATTTGATAGCTTAAAGATAAAAATATTCTTAAGCTATTAATTGTTGATTTTAATTTTGTAGCAACACTATTCATTTGTTTGAATCATATGGCAGTAACATTTACTCATTTGGATTTGGTGACAATATTTCATTTATTTAGATAATATAAGGCAAATAAGAGCATATATGTCGTCCCTTGCAAATACCTAAGTAAAATTGTTAGCCCTGAAATGAAGAAATATGGAATTGAAAGGGGAAAAAAATTCTTTTTGCTTATTGAATGATTTTTTTCCATGATGTTCAAGGAAAAATTAGTACGAAGAAAGGCTTATATGTATAGATGGATTTAATTTAAAACAACAATTGACCTCGGCCCCAAGTACAGGAAGAATTATTGAATGGCACATAAACCGGAAGTGAACGTTGATAAGTCAAAACTGCGCTGGTCCCAAAATGTTTTCATGTGTGTGTGTGTGTGTGTGTGTGTGTGTGTGTGTGGTGTGTGTGTGTGTGTGT